AGCCACGCCCGAGATAGGCTAGAATCCCTGATTGACCAAATCCAATGGCCAACGCAATAAGCCATTTTCCAATCAGCACCATAACGGCACCGTCCAATGAATCGCATACCATCACGTGCTATTCGGAAACAATCAGGCGCTTAAGCTTTTTTGTTGCTTGCTCTTGTCTTCCTTTATTCCCTTCTCCCCCTTTTTTGTTCCATCTGGATTTTCAATAATCATGAATGGGGATCCTGTTCTTTTAAAGCCCGAAGGCACCTTACGCACCATTACGTTTGGAGGCTCCGGAGGCATCCATGAAGATTCCAACCATCACGTCCTCAAGGCACCTCTCAAGCATAACACTCAGGGGTGTAATCAAGATGTGCTCGCATATGTTGCAGGAACCGAAGAGTATTCTGAGGAGTCCATTGCTCGCGAGAAACTTATCTATCAATCTCTACCAAACGATGACCCCAATATTTTGAAATGCCTGGGTATCACCGAAAGAGGAATCCAGTTCCCTTTTTTACAACATGGCGATATCCGAACCTATCTCAAATCCCATTCGATTGATATGGCGACGAAAGATAGGTGGATTCAAAATGCGATTGACGCTGTCATCACCATTCATGCATGTGGTGTTATTCACTGCGACATCAGTCCCCGCAACTTTCTCGTTAGCGATGATCTTTCAATCCAAGTCTGTGATTTTGCAGGATCCCAAATCAACGGCCTTAAGTGGTTAGCCGAGGAAGAAACTCGATACCGGCTACCATTACCTCCCTCTTGTCCTCGGAGTATTATCTCTGATCTTTTCGCGCTTGGTTCCCTCATATACGAAATTTCTACGGGCACATGTCCTTTTCCCGAGCTGGACGATGATGAAATTGAGAAGCGATACGCTTCGCAAAAATTTCCATCTCTGGATACCCTCAAATACGGAAAGGTCATATCAAAGTGCTGGAGGTTGCAGTATCCATCAGCGGAAATGTTGAAGAGCGACATTCGCCATCTCCACAAGCCTTCGACCCTGGATACGAATGAGATTACCCCCTCACTAATTTGTTGTACTCTGGCTATGGTTAGCTTTGGATTTGCTTTTTGGGTATGTGTGAGTCAAAATAGATAAAACAGTTCATGATGCACTAGTTCTCAACACCTACCTATATTGTTTACAATTTTTACTAGAGAATATCACTGTCGCTCAGGGTTAGATTCATCCTTCTAAATCATACCTCCACATTATCTTGTACTTTACCTGTTAGGTAGACTCAAACCTGCTGAGCAAGCAATCGCCGCTTCCAAGGTTCCTTGTGCGACATAGCCCAACGCCACCCGTTTAGGTGGTCGCGATTGCTTCTCGTTTACGCGCCCAACTTTAGGGTATTACATACCCCAGAGACCCTTTCTACTAGGAATCATCTTTTCTGAATTTCCAAGGTTTTGCTTCCTTGTGGCCTACTGCTTCTTCTTCAAAATCTATCTACTAGCATGCGCCTAAAGAAACAAGTTTCTATCAGGAATATCATCACCACCTAATTTTCATATCAATTGCTATAAAACATTCTGATAACATCCTCGACGTTCAAATTTGCTTGGTCTGACTTTGAGCCTATGCCGAAAGAAACAGGAGATTTGTTGGATGCCTCAGGCATCACATGTAGGATAGACCAACTAGATAGTCTTCCTTCCACTCTCACCTTCTCTCTCTCCCCGTCCATCCAATTGAATACTGTTTTACCTGCATACATACTATCATTGTATTTGCATCAAGATTTTTTGCTGCAATATACAAAGAAGTTTCACTTTTCCTGATTGTTAGAATCTTCTCGTCTTACATAGTTCGGAACAGCAAGTAAGTACCTTGTTTGCCGTACAGTTCGGGCAAGCCTGATTTCGCTTGGTGGTCATCCCAAGTTGTGCATCCTTGGTCACTCCGCAGTTCTTATCACAGGGAACCACAGTAGAGTGTTCTACAATATGACCACAATTGTATTTGACAGGGCCGTGGGTGCGTGTACACATGATACTTTCATATGATTAGCAGCTGAGTTTTGTAGTAATTGAGCCTACTTACCTGGGTAGCTGGATGATATTATTATGGGGTTTGGGCTGAGATGGAGTTGGAGGAAGATCTGGGCACGAAGTTGGATCAGATTTAAAGCTGCGTGAGAGTGCGTTTATGTAGAGAAAGTGGACCATCAGGGGGTATCAAACTCTCCTGCTCAAACAATGCTTAGTTAGATAGGAAACGTCATGTAGATGTTTTGCGGAATATCTGAGCATGAGCTCTGTGCTAGAAGATACCTAGGCAAATAGAGCTAAGCGCTGGCCCCCAAGTCTCTCTAGGCAACACATCACGTTTGGAACTGACTGATAAGGGTTTTGCCATTATTTCCCCTTGCATAAAATAAGATCTACTTTCCGGACCAAAGCCTTGATGCATGACTCGTCATTCAGAAGAGCTTGGATAACCTCTTGATTGAATCCATGTTGAAGGAGAAAGACCTCACCTTCATCGAGACCCTTTGTAGTACCAACATGCACATCTTTCGTATCGTCAATGGGTGCTCTTTTGTCGATCTCCATGTTCGCAATTCAATGAGTGACAGCAAGTAGCAAACAAAAAGATGAAAGTGGTACAAAAATATGGAGTCAAATGCCCCTCAAAGCATTTTTAGGCCAAACTCCCGTTATCTTTGGGGTTTACTCCAAAATAGCTACTGTCCCCCGCACGGCATAGTTTTCCCGAGGCTGCTACTTGTGAGTGGAGAGATCGTGATGCCCACGCCATATTCATCTTTAATTTCCACCCAGATAGTTCCCCCCTCCCCACCTCCCCCGCGCTATAACTTCGGCGCTACTTTTGACCGCCGGAAAGATAATGACCCCAACGGTACTCTATCTTACTCCCGACCCCCAACTCTTGTCATGATTTCCCTTGACTTACCATAAACCCGTGATAAATTGATACACCATGACTGCTGCTACCAATTCTCCTTCCGTCACCCTGGTACAAGGCCATGTGGTGGGGACCCAGCTCAAAGACTCTTTTCCTCAAACTGTCGACGCTTTCTTGGGAGTCCCATATGCCCTTCCTCCTATAGGAAATCGACGGTTCAGACCAGCAGCCAAAGTTTTGTGCTCATCAGACACCATAGATGCGTCCAGATATGGCCCCGCGGCTCCTGGAAAAGCACTTCTCTCTGGAGGACCGAAGCTCGTGCAGAGTGAAGACTGCTTGACAGCAAACATCTTTCGACCAGCTGGCAGCAATGATAATTCCAAGCTCCCTGTTGCGGTGTATATTCACGGGGGTGCTTTCAATCGGGGATCAGCAACTATGCACAATACTGCGTCCATGGTAGCGTGGTCAGAACATCCCTTCGTTGCCGTAAGCTTTGGTTATCGTATTGGAGCTCTTGGGTTCCTCCCCTCAACTCTGTCGCAGAAAGAGGGGTTGCTGAATCTCGGATTGCGCGATCAGGTGCATTTGTTGCAATGGGTCCAAGAGAACATCGCCAACTTTGGCGGCGATCCTGCTAACGTCACTTTGTTTGGTCTTTCTGCGGGGGCGCATTCAGTACTTCTCCCAGTTCCTCGTCTTTTTTAAAAATCCTTCCATTTTGACCTAAATCTAGATTGGCCATCACCTTCTTAATTATGACGAGCACAAATCGCCACTGTTTCATCGGGTCATTATCGAGTCTGGAGCACCAACTTCCCGCGCTGTTCGCCCATATAACGCCAAGGTTCACGAGGACCAATTTGCAGACTTCCTCCAAGAAGTCAGCTGCCCAGCTAATCTAGCGGAAGCCGAAATCTTCCCATTCCTACGTTCGCTCCCCAGCTTGACTATTACAAAGGCCCAAACGGCTGTTTTCGACAAGTACAACCCTTCCCTTCGGTGGGCATTCCAGCCTGTAATTGATGGAGACATAATCTCTCGTAAGCCTCTTGAGGCATGGGAGTCCAAAGTCTGGAATAAAGTACCCATCATGACCGGATTCAACAGCAATGAGGGAACAATGTACGTCGACAAGAAAATGTCGGATGCCTCCCAGTTCCGCGAATTCTGGCACAATCTTCTACCTGAGCTCTCGTCTTCCGACCTTGACACCATCGAAAAACTGTATCCTGACCCCGCCGTGGATTCCACGTCACCCTATGTCGAAACTCGAGAAGGCGAGGGTCTCGGGCCTCAGTATAAGCGTATTGAAGCTGCCTACGGACACTATGCGTATGTGGCACCAGTCCGCCAGACAGCATATTTTGCATCAACCCAAGGTGCTCCAGTTTACCTTTATCATTGGGCGCTACCGAGAACGGTCATCGGTCGAGCAAACCATGCCGATAATATGTACTATGAGACCTATAACAGTGCCATTACGGGGATCTCGGAATCGCAGAAAGAACTGTCCGGCACACTGCATGCCTACTTGACAAGTTTCATTACGACCGGTGATCCTAATGCTCTGTCTGGTCGATATGAACGGAGACCGGAGTGGAAGCCTTTCCGGCCAGGGGATTTGAAAGTCATGATCTTTGGACAGGGGAATGACGAATTGATCGGAGGAAATGTTGCTCCTCCTGCAAAATGTGTCACGGATGATTGGGCAAGGGAGGAGACAGAATTTTGGTGGTCAAAGGTTCCGATTTCGCAGCTTGCTTGATGTACATAGGACAGAAATATTTCATGTATAGAACTCACCCATACAGCTGCATTCAGCGATTTGCTTCTGCACAACCTGATCTGTTTTAAATCCCCCCCATTCAAGGTGTCGGCACCAGCAAAGCAAGTTGGCTACAGCCTCTATACGAGAATGCCACGTTTGTTTTCGATTCCATGCGTCACTGCCGTTTGCATTATACTAAGATGTTATTGTAGCAAAACGACAAGATTGGCTAAAAAAGATAATTCAGCCGCTTCTGGGGCCTCGTCATGTCTTTTTGGACGATTTTTTCCTCGTTGGTTTACGGGCTAGAATATAGGTAGCAAAGAGCTAGAATTGTGAAGACGACATTTCTGAATAAAATTAGGAATGTCAGTGAGTCTATCCAATGTAGTTCGGAGTGTTTTACGTCTTTCCTTATCCCCGCGCGTGGTTGTGTGTAGTCCCTTGCTCCCTCACCCCAGTAGCCCCAACCGCTTTGAGTCAATCAGAAAGGGCTTCAGCAGACAATCTTGGACAAATATGCCGAGTTGGTCTTTGACTGCCCCTCTTACTGGCTCCAAGAAGGACCTGGTGTCACAAGTGAGTTCAGCCTGGCAGATGCATCGAAGTGGGAAGGTGGTCGTGGTAAGCGCTGTGAGTTCTGGAGGAGCGTCGGGCCACGTGTGCCAGCATAAGCGATTTGGTCGCATTTCAATTCTAAGAAGTTGGGCTGTGAAGAGAAAGTACCCGCATCCTCTCTCCATACTACTTGTAGATGTGACTTTTCATGGATTTTTTGCTCTCTTGCAAACAAGTCTGAGGATTGAATGCATGACGTCGAAATGGGGGTAAAGGTCTCGGATGGAGAGCTATAATGCAGTTTGAAAAATGATGTCTCATTTCGCCGAGTTTTGCTATTTGTTAATCACTCGAGGGGAAATCCAGCTCCGACTGCCAAGCCTTGAGTAATCAAAATTCCCTGACATATCCCATCCGAACAGGTGCCATGGTCTAGTGGTATGACGACACATTGTGGTTAAACAATGATCTGTGTTAGCCCCGGTTCGATTCCGGGTGGCGCCATTCTTTTTTTTTCAAATGTTTTGCTACTGCTGATGTGCTATGTTTCTAGGTGTTTTTTTTTAAAAAAAAAAACCAGGTCATCAATTTATGGCAGAATGGAACGAACCATGGGATACATCCAACTCCCATTCCCATGGTTCATCCATGTGCAATCTCAAACATTTAAGAAAGGCAAGCTTTGGATCAGATGAGAGATAGGAGTCAGGGATCGGCGAGACAACATAAAACTGTTTGGCAGATACAGAAGGCAGATGCGCAAGTTGTTCTTCAACATGGCCTTTGTGCCAGCTATACTTCTGTCCTCGGCAGTCTTTCATTCGAAAGCACTGACCGAGTAGCGCTATCTGCTGTGCGTGGGTCTTGCCCCTCAGGCTCGGAAACGCCATATTAAGCAACCCAATAGAATGTAGGGTCGCTTGTGCCTCTAAATCTCCTGCATGCTTCGGAAGTCGGATTCGCTATCCTCTATCTAGTAGCTGCGAGTGTTGGCTGTATTGGATTAAGCAACGGACGGGATCGTAGAACTTCACGACCTCTGCTACTACAACATAGGGAACTAGCAACTTCGTGTGTGACTAACTACAGTGGGGCCACTGGTGGATAGTCACGACTCGATCTCAGGATTGCGTCATCTTCCTCCTCGTACATAAATCTCGAATACTCTTCGAGGCCGTCATTGTGGTCTAGAATATTGGTACCAGGAAGTGATGGAAGAGACGTGTCGAGTGGTTATCACCATGGATTGATCTGTGGACGTGGAACTATCGGAGAAATTGGAAATGGTTGAAGAGAAAAGGTTTTAATGTCTGGGAAAGTCTTGGTCTCGAGCAAGTTCGCCTGCTGAACTTCCGATGTCCATCTCATTGATACCTCTCGGGGGTTCTGTTGTACACTTTTGTGGTGTTTGTTCGTTTCTTTGATTTGCATTTGCATTTGCATTTGGGGGGGGGGGGGGTCTTATATTGATTCATGTTGGATTTGCAATTTTGGTCGAATCGGTCGCGTGGTGGGGTGCGATGTCAAGAAAATATACAACTTGTATATCTTGCCACTTGGAACAACACCTGCCTAGTCGTAATCGATTCCGATCACTCTTCGCTATGAATCATAGCAAGGCTAGGAAGCCCCGCTTACCAAGTCCATTAGTATCGCTAATCTCGAAATTTAAGATGGCAAATTCTCTTCCCTGCCAGAAGGCAATGAAGTGAAGCAGACCCACCGTGACCCTCAACAAACATCACCAACATGGGTGCATCCTAAAAGTAGGGTATAAACTAGACACGTGAGAATATATCATAAGCAGCACTAATGGTGTAGTGGTAACATATAACACTTCCAAGTAGTCATTTGACTACTAAGTTATGTTGTGCCGGGGGTTCGATTCCCTCTTAGTGCATTTTTGGAATTTTTTTTTTAATCTGTCTGATCATAAGAAATCAATTGGCTGGTTATATTTTCTCTCAAGCCTCGATGCAGGTTGTGATTCCAGGTATAACCTGGAGTCATTTGCAATTTCCAAGGTAGGTAAAGCTAAGGCCAAATGGACACTGGATCTTATCACCATGATCCAAGATTGACATAGATGAGCATCCTGTGGGTGCCACAGGGTTATATACATTTGGTCGCACAGGTACAGAATGTACCATCGAGCAGAGAACGTCAAGACGAATAGCCAAACTAAGTTGACAGTGAAATTTCATAGACGCCGAATAGAAGAATAGATAAACTAGAACAACCAATGCAAGATCACCCCCATGTACGCGAAACGCCATGCCATGAAAATCTGGGGACAAAAAAGTGCGTATCAACTGTAGGGGGGGGGGGGGGTACTCGCGAGAAGGGGAATCAGCCAAAGGAGATTAGACAAATGAGATGCGAGTGACACAACAGACCAAAAGATGACAAAGGAGATGGTAAACAAAAGAGACCCTCAACCAGCCCACCATCTATTTTGTCCAGCAGAGTAGAGACAAGGCGATGTGAAAGCTGTAATGAGGCGGGATATGATAAATGAATCCGAAGCAAAACAATGCGGATGGGACATCCTGGTCACATAGACATAGGAAAAAATAAATAAATAAAGGAAACAACATCGCGGAAGGAGAACAAATGCCGTTTCATGGCCTGCATCTGGAAAATGGAACTGAGACAAGGCATGGGAAATGTGATAAATCCGACGAGACAAATTTGAAACCAAAATTGTCCATCGAATAAATTTCCCCGGTGCTTGAACCGGGAAAGACCTACAAATGGCGCAATGATTAGTCCCCGTAGACCCTGCTACAGGGGATTCAAGTAATGAGTATACAGTACAAGGAGGAACTCCAGCCTCCGATTGGGATCAATATCAGGTTCGAGATTGGATTGAGAGTAGTGCCGGAATCAGCCGTTGACCATGTCATCCAAAGCCATCTTGCGCCGTTTGATCGGTCTGTTGTCGTGAACTTCAGTCTCGGTGCCGGGTGGCTCTGCCCTCGCCATCGAAGGTGAGTTGCCAGATGTCATCTGGACCGGGGATGGCAGTTCCACCGGCCCAAGGTGACGGGGGACGGGGTCCATGGTTGCGCTTGTTATGGAGGTGGAGCGGTGGGGGGGGAGAGAGTAATTGAAGACTGGGCCTGCAGATCTGTGGAGAGGGAAAGCGCGGGGGTCGTGAAGGGCGTCTTCTCTACCTGGTAGAGTCCAATTGATGGGATACGGATCGCTCAGGCGATGGACATGGTGGGAAGGAGGTGGTGGCCCGGCTGTCGCCTGGTGAATTGGAGGGAGCCGGACTGGCGATTCGATGGTATACGGGTCCCGAGGCGAGAGCGATACTCGGGGATCATTTGCTGAGCGGATCGAATGTCCAGGCGTCTCGGCATACGGTAGAAAGGGTATCCCAATCGGCGGTGATTGATGTTGGGGCGGCGATTTTGGCGTTGGTAATGCTGGGACGCCGTATGTTGGGAGTCGCCGCTCCCTGCCAGACATGGTGTTGATATTTAAGACTGGATTGAATCCGGCCATCGGCATGTAGGGGGCAGGTACATGTGGGTGTGTCGGTACTGAATGCGATGGCGGTCCAGATGAAGAAAATGGGCGTCGAATCATACCCCCCGGAACCGTGGGGGAGGGGTCCATAGGCCGCGTCAGAGGAAATACCGATGTCGACCACCGATGTGGTATCCGGACTCCTGAGATTGCATCTCCCAATCCCTGTAGATCGGTCATGGGCCGTAGTTCTCGTGATGATGTGGTCCGATGCATAGTGGCCCGCCGTGGGGGCATTGTTTGGTGGGCTTCCGCAAGGATAGTCGGGTTATCCAAATGTGTGGTATAGGACCTGAGAGATGAATCTTCTGCTTTCAACGGGGGTCGTCCCCGTTTTTTATGCGTGACGTCCACACAGGTTGCCTTTTCCCCTGCTCATCAGTTGCGATCCCACAGTTCAAGGGAATTTGTCACTTACGGCTTTTCCAGCGAGCACACATCTTCGACATGGACGAGCCGGGTCGCATCCAAGGTGCTTTTTCTTGCAATTCACGCATGCCGATGCCACATGTGCTTTTGTACGTCGGGTTGATTTCTGTACCAGTGACCGACCTGTGGGATGCGTTGGGTCTAATGGGAGTGGACATGGTCCTCCCGGGGGAGATCTAGCATATACCGGTCCCCGTTCATTATATCCCAGTCGCGGCAGTGGCTCATTCACCGGTCCTTGCGATAGCTCCAACGCAGGCAGAATAGACCGCTCAGCCGTGGCTACGGGAGATGAAGGATATCCCCGAGGCTTGATCTCTGCGGATGGCTCCGAGGGTTTTGATATAGGAGATCCAGACATAGATTGATAGGGTATAGAAGCCCGGGGACTACACCCTCGATCATTGGGGGACCAAGATCGATTCAACGGTCGCCGCTCTGGGCCCTTGAATTGGGGTGGTCCGAACTGGGAGATTGTGAGGCTCGGGGGGTGAAGCACGAGTGATTGCATTGGGTGTCGGGCAGGAAAGTCAAAGGGCCCACGGGGCAAATGCTTCTTGGGGGGAATATTTTTCCTTTGCTTTCTTTTTTTTTTCTTTTCCCCCCCTCCCTATTTCGGTTGGGTTTCTTAGGTAGATCTTTGTTTAAAATTCACAAGCAGGGTACACTGGCTTTGGCGGTACTTTGGGGCAGCATGCCTGAGTAATAGATCTGGGGAGTGCATAAGAGGAACAATCCAAAAAAAAAGAACCAAAAAAAACCCCCAAAAAAAAACAAATTGAAAAGCGTGGTGTAAGGAGAATCGAAAAGAAGAGTCACTAAAAAATGTCTTCTAATGCCGTCCGACGCAAGCTTATAATCATTATAGTGGAGAGATCCGCTATTGGAGGAGTCAGAAAATAGACTGCATAGGAGATTTCTAGATGACAGCAGGGCACAGGGTTACTCATACGCATGTCTTCCCAGGGCGACTTATTGCAGGACGGCGGTCGATCATTGAGCTAGGATCAAGGTGCAGTAAAATGTCAAAGCCACCCTTACCTCTTGATCACACGTCCCACGTTCGTGTTCAAGGAGAAAACGGTGAAGTATATAGCCGAAAGTGAGATGTAGCCCCAAGGGAAAATCAAACCAGTACCCACTTGCATGATTTTAGGCGTTCGATAGTCTCAATGAGATTGACCATGATCATGTAGGAAAGGGTTGTGGTCAATGCCAAGGCTAGTAATTGATAGACTGGATCTTCGTGGTACGGAGTAGATCATTAGAGAATAATGTGGTTTAACGGTTGCTCCTTAACCCTCCTTTTCTTTTTAAAAATCGTGTGTGTATGTGTGTGTGTTTTTTTTTAAACACAGAAGAGACAGAATCTATACCCCGTTCACCCCGTTCACCCTCTGTTCCCTCCCCCTCATCCCCTATCTAGGACTTTGGGATTAAACTGTCAGTGACACACTCAGCGACGGGTAAAAAAAGGAAGGGATTCCAGAGGAGTACTTTTTTCCTTTTCCTTTTCCTTTTCCTTTTCTTTTTCTTTTTCTTATTTTTTTTTTCCCGGAGAGGGGCGTATACCAATCAGGACTAAGCAAGGTGGAAGATGGGCGGATCGACGTCGGTGCCCGCAGCCATTGCCAATAGTCTCGTAGATGTGCATTCCGAGTACAGTATTTTTACATCTTCAATTTACCAAGCATACGGAGTATACGGAGTACAAGGAGTACAAGGAGTACAAGGAATACAAGGAATACAAGGAGCACATCTGTTATAGTAACCTTGGTAGGGTTACAATCGGGGCCTTTAAGAAGAACGTATGCGAATTGAACCTTTTGAATCTGAATATTTCTCCACAAAGTGTCGGCAGTTCAATGATCTCCCACTTTAAAACCCTTTAAATCCCATCCTTGAAACCCCTATAAATCCCCTTATTCTCCGACCCACCCGGGCAAATGTATGACCGATCCTATATGCTCCGTCTAGGGGTTACTGTTACAATCGCAGATCAGAGGAAAGGTCTGGCTTTTTGGCCTTTCGTGTGTCGGACAACTGCAGGCACCGCAATCATCTCCTTTTTTTTCCTCCTTTTTCTTCTTCCCCCCCCCCCCCCCTCCCCCTCTCTCCTTTTTAACGATTTTCGGGAAATAGTTTGCGAGCTTGATAGTCTTCCCAAACCATCAGCCTGTGAGACCCCACCATTTAAAGGAGGGGGAGGGAGGGGGAGGGGAGGAGTTTCCCTTTCTTTTCTCTGTCACTGGACTCGGACTTTTTTTTTACATAGATGGTTTGCGCGAGATCTGAAGAGAAGGGGGCAAGGGTCTTACAAAGGTCCATGGGTCTAAAGGCCGAAAGGTCTCAAGGGTTCAAAGGATCCCAAAACAATCTTTCCCTCTCGTGACAATCCTTCGGCGTCTACTTTATTTTCCGGGGACCCCAACAGAGATGTGGCTGCAGCCTTCTGCCGGGGGCGATCACATTCGATCACATTGCCCTTTGCCTCTCTGCGCGTGCGCATTGCTGACGATCGCTATCCCTGGCTGCAAAACTGCAGGATTCCAAAGTGATCTCACGTCATGAGGAAGATGTAATTTCATGGTGGAGATCCAATAACGAGGAGACTACGGAGGACGGAGTACTCCGTACTCGGTATACCATCTAATCCACCTGTACTCCGTACTCCATACAGATAGATTATAGTAGATGATCATTTTAAGTCACACCAGCAACAATTCACATATAAACTCGGCAGGATCCGATCCAAGACTAGGAAAAAGGGGCGTGGAACATACGGCACGCGGAGCAGCAAGGGGTCTGTCACCCCGTTCATGCAGGATTAAATAGTACACTTTATACAGTTGGTTGTTTTCTGAATTCATCTGCCAATCAAAATCAATTTTGCCTGTAATTTGTACGATACGGAGTAGGATGGGCTAACAAAGTGTCATCCATCTACGGAGCATAACGCCTCCCTCTCCCGGTATAGTGTTCTAGCCGACACAATGTCCACACTTGATTAATTGGTTCAAGTGGAGTAAATACGACGATGAATTTATTGATCATTTGAGTGGAAATTTCTCTGAGATAAAAAATCGCCGAATCAGTTGTTTTTTTTTTTTTTTTGCGTTAAATAGTCCCGGTGATGACGGAGATTGTTCGGGATGGGGAATTCCCTCAGTCGCCACGGTGAACGCACCCGATTGTTCTACAGTGTATATCCTCCGTCGTCCGTAATTTGAACGGAATTGACACATGCTCCGCACTTCTGCGAACCCCATCCCAGGGTATTTGGGAACACCCTCCAACGGTGACGGGGTCCGAGTCTGCGAGGGCGGGCTGATCACATCTGGATCACGCCACAGGTTGATCTACAGTTTAAGCGTGATGGCCTGCATCGCCAAGTTCCAATGTTGAATTAGCCCGATTTCCAATCTGCCTTCGTATACTCTGTAGGATCGAGTCTAGGGTACACAACTTCTTCCCATGTGGTGAGCTAGGCAGTTCCTAAATCCCGGATTCTCACTGACGTCGGGCTGAGTAAAAAATCTCCGAACACACATTGTGGTATCTCTGCAAGATAGACATCTATTCGACAGGAAATGGTCCCCATCTCCCTAATCCTTTACCGTCTTTTCGAGGGCCGAGCATTCTTATCACGACGCTGTTGCACCAGCTTCCGAGCCTTGCGAATATCTTCCGTAGACCGAAGTTCACTCTTTCCGCGGTAAGCTGCTCCACCAAGCTTCTCGTGCTGGCGTTCGCGAGCCGCATCGTTCTTCTTCTTCATCTTGTCATAGTCACCACGCAGAGGATCAGCACGCTTGGGCGCCCGGTCTTGGTTGTGTCGGAATCGCCCACTGCTCATGCGCGAGTTGATGTTGTTCATAGCAGGCGTCTCAGCCTCACCCACACGAGGCATCCGCTCAACGCGCTTGCCCTTCTTCCAGGCTTGGAAGCGACCGCTGCGGAAACTGGCGGCGATCTTGGCACCACTCTCCCCGCGCACGAGTCGGCTGCCCTTGGAACCGTCCTCGTCGTTCTGGCGGGCAACGTACTTCTTGTGTCGCTTGTCCCAACGCATGATGGAACGCGCTTCACCGAAGCCGCGCTTGCCTTCGTCGCCGTTGAGGTCCATGGTCGCGTTGCGGGAGTCGCTGGCAAAGTTCGAGTTCGTACCCGAGTGCACCCCGTAGGCCTTGTCTTCGGCCATATCGTTGTGTTGAGGTGTGTAGCCCATGAAGTAGTCGGGGTTCTGGAATGCTGCTGCGGCGTCTTTCTTCTCTCCCTGCTTGGACTTGGAGCTGTAGGCAGAGAAAGTGACTTCAAGTTCATCGTCGGATGCCTCGGACATGTTCTCGCCAGCTTGCTCGGGGACATCCTCGTCCTCTACTTGACCATCCTCGCCGGGAGCGGACATTCCGAGTGCTGCCAACTCGGCCTCTGCCTTGGCATCGGCGCGCTTTCGTTTGTTCTCGACGCTAGTACGGAGTCGGCGAATGGTGTCAACGGCCTCATTGTCAGCCACTTTGCCGCCTCGTCGGTTGTTCGCCTCGAAAATCGTCTCATGGGGCCGATAACCACCAATGCGGGCCAGCATACTCTCTCGCTCTACTTCCCTCTCGCTGGTTGCATCGTTGAAGAGCGGGTGAATCTCGGCCCAGTGATCAGAAGAAACGACCTCCTTCGAACGCTTCGCACTCTCAGCAGAAGCCGAATTGCGGGTGCGCAGATACAGCTTCTCTCCCTTCTGCGAGACTTGCTTCTGTCCATAAATATCTACATCATCGTCGAGCACCTTCTGCACCCATTCGCAAGAGCGAGAGACTGGCTCTCTCGGCAGCGTTCCTACAACAACATCCTCGGCAAAATTGAGTTCAGTGCCATACTGACGACCGAGAACCAGCCTGCGTCCCAAGAACAGCTGAAGATCCAGAAGATACGGGGCATCTTTGTCGCGAACAAGACTGTAACTCCAACCCTTCTGGCCTGCACGGGCAGTACGACCGACACGGTGAATGAAGATCTTGGGCTGTGAGGGGAAGTCGTAGTTGATGACGTTGGCAAGAACAGGAATATCAATACCTCTGGCAGCCACATCGGTGACGACCAGGATATTTGAGATGCCGGATCGGAAGTTTTGAACATGGTGATTACGAGCAGTCTGATCTAGGGAACCGTAGGCGTAAGAGGTGGCAAATCCGGCCTCAACGAGAAGAGAATAGAGGTAGTCGACATGATGCTTGGTTGCCGCGAACACGATGGTTGAGTGCTCAGTAGGCGACTCCTTGAAGCCGCTCGGGAGACGGACATCCGATCTCTTGCGCTTTCTTGTGGGGTTTTCAGCTTCCTGGCGTAATTTCCCACCAATTT